CGATCGTAAACTCCTGGAGATCACCCTCAAATTGTTTGTTCCAGGTGTTTAGGCTAGTGATTCTACTAGGTAGCAAGTGTATGGAAGGAATACTCACGATTTAGAAGCTTTAAAAGGTGTTTTCGGCCACCAAGAACAAGTGTGTGTTCTTGGTGTTCTTGGTGAAAGATGAAGATCTACCCAAAAAGATGATTTCCATGGATGAAATCAAAGGGTGATACGTGATTAAGAAGGATAACAACTCAAAGATGGAAGAAACACTTATGTTTTTGATGATCTAGGATGAAGAACTCGATGATAGTTGAGAGAGAATCGATTTTCTAGACTTGGAAGTGTGAGAAGTGGTGAAAAATGAAGGAATATCATGTATATGGGAGGAGTTTACGGCCAACCAAGAGTTTACGGCCGTAAACTCCCAGTTTGCGGCCGTAAACTCCTTGTGATGGAGTTTCCGGCTTGATTTCAACCCAATAAACTTAAGCTGACACAACCTTATACCCAATCCTTAAGTGTACTAGGCTTAGAACTCATTAGAATGACCCTTAACAAGGCTAGAAGGCAATGAAATTAAGTCCGACTTTTGGGTGATTGGCTGGGCTTACAAGATAAAAATTTTCGGGTTGTCACAGCAGATCCCCTCACAAAGGATTTGAGTAGGATCAAGCACGTTCAACATGCAAGGAGCATTGGTCTGAAGGATGATATTAGTTTTAGCGATTAGATAGATATTTAGAAACTTGTAACAATATAAATGTAATTGACATTTGATGATTAAGTAATGAAGATTTATTTATTATTATTATTTACTGTTTTTTGTCAATTGTTTATCATTGTGTTTCACTTTTTCATGTTTTACTTCCCGGATAATTGGATTATTCAAACTATCCACATTCGATCATACTTTGGAAGTAAGTAGTGAATTAAGATTGTCATGAATTGGCGTGTAGATTGTCTAAGTGTTTAGACATAGCAAATGTTTGCTCCAACGTTCATGAGTACTCTTGAAATGGGATTTAAGTATTGGATTAAACCCACGCTCATAGAATTACTTCATGGAATTTATCACGAGTAATTATGAGACGATAATATCATATAATCTTTAAACGGAGATATATGAGTTGTTGTTTACGAGTTGGTTGTGCATTGATAATGTGTAAACGCATCAGTAACTTGATGTTATAAAGTGTATTATTGTGTACGATTCGATGAGTACATAGTATAAGCATATAAGTCAAAGTTTATCTGTTCCTTTTATCCTAAGGGGTAAAAGAGATATCTTGGGCCCCTCGATGATTTTGTGTTGACTTATGTGTCGGTCCCGGTCAGACTGAATTTATGTGTTTAATTAAGTTCATCGTCAAACAAATCAGAAATCGGGAAACAAACTGTTGGACATTGAGAATGATTCTATTCCATGTCATTTGTCCACATGATATCTTGCAGAACGGAGGATTATATGATCCCTTATCTTAGGACTTGTAACTGACTAGGTCAGAGGTTGACAACGACTTTTGAAAGCTACGATTGCTAGTCAAATTTTGAAGTCATACTTGCAATCATAGTTATTAGACTTATCCAAGTGGGAGACTGTTGGATTAAGTGTCTAAGCCCATAACTATAATTGGTATGTACTTGATTTGATAGTAGCATGGTCCTTTTGGGATGCCTTTACTTTAGCAACTTGACAAGATGACTTTTGGAGAGAGAGGTTGATAAATGATTTATTAATGTATTATGAAAATAATATATTAGTATTTAATCAAAAATTAATTTTGGGATTAAAGGAACAAGGTTTTTTTGCAAATCATTGATAGTTGTGAAACTGGGCTACTGGACTCCTTATGATGGAGTGGACAAAAATTATAGGAGGCCCTATAAGATTTTCGTCCAAGGCTCCCTAATAAGGGTCCATGGACTGCTTAAGCCTTAAGCAGGAAATTAGGGTTTCCAACTGAAAACCCTAGCAGCCCTCAGCTATATAAAGACCCCACCACTTAGGGATTTCGGCCTATGCTTGCTAATTGGAACCCTAACCGAAATTCTAAGTGTATTCCCTCCTCTCACCTCTCATCCTTTTGCTACAAGTGTTTGTAAGCCATTAGAAGTGCAACATTTGACGCACTTTGCTTTCAAGAGTCAAGATCTACAAGGTGTTCTTGTTATTACAACATAACAAGCAAGGTAATCTTATAACCCTAATTATATATGAATTTCGAAATTATATGCTAGATCTAGGGTTTTGCTTTGGTATTCAATTTGCATGTTCAACTAGTGAAAAACTTAGATCCAAAGCAATTAGGGTTGCATGATCACATAACATTTGTAGATATGCTCAAAACCCATCAGATCCTAATGTGTGCAGTAGGCCAAGATACCCGGGTGGGCTAGCGGTATACTATAGACCAGATGAGGACTAGTTATATGTTATGGAAGGCGGGTCAGTCATGGACTGGAGGCCAATGAGAGCAGTCTAAGTGTACTGTAGGCCTTGCAAGGCGGTCCATTCAGACTTGAGGCTCAAGAGATCGGTCTAGGTGTACAGTAGGCCTTGCGAGACGATCCAGTCAGACTAGATGCTCATGTGTGCATGCATTGTATGTATATTGTGGTGTGTGGTATTTTGGGGTAACTCACTAAGCTTTGGTTTATAGTTGTGGATTAAATGTTTTTTAGGTACCTTTGATGATCGTGGGAAAGCAAAGACGTGATTGAACACACTTATCAGCGACATTGGGGTTCCGCAATTATTATATTATTCTAATTTTTAAAAGAATTGTATATTGAGCAAATGAGTTTTCCTAACTCGGGTTTTATGAAAATGGTGTTTTACCTTAATTAAAAAGGATTTCTTTTGTGAAAATTGGACGTTACATTTTGTATGAATTAAATGTATTGTGATGGTGTGAAATGTATGAAATGGAGTATGGTATTTATAGTCTTTTTTAAAAGAAAAAAAATAGATTTTGAAAAGTAGTCGTTAATTTGAACGTTGGTATATGTTTGTTGGGTTTTTGGGTGTGGTAACCTTCCCTCTCGTGGCGACTCCACCGCACCACCACATATATAGGCGATGTCGTGTTCACTGCACCACCACAGGTGACACATAACCCACCGTGGTGTGCAGTTTCCTCCGGTCTGATCATTCTAAGAATAGATAAGGGTAAATAACTAAAAACCAATTATCAAGAATCATTTTTTTAAGGTAACAAACTTTTTATTTGATTCTAAATTTATAACTAGTATTTTTCCTGTTGCATGTTGCGGCGGCGCCATTATGTTTTGTAAATTGAATTTTGACAATTGTATTGATAAAAGTTAGATAGTGTTGTATTTTTTAATTGATGAATATACAATGTCGGTACCACTGACAAAAATGTAGGTGGATAGGATAAACACGAAAATTTAGAAAGTCGAGGGAATGAAAATGACATTTTATAAAGTTTAAAGTTGAAGAGACAAAAGTGACATTTAGAGTTAAGGGATGGTAACTATAGAAAATTCATATTATATAAACAAACTTTAATAAAATGGGGGATGAAATTGAAATTTTAACAAACTTTAATAAAATAGGGGGAAAATGACTTAGGAGACCATCGAAGTTTCAAATTCGTTCAAAAAAAACCATTCAAGTATTACATGTTCAAAAAACACCATCAAACTAAGACATATGTTCAAAAAACACCAACGAAGTACATGTTCTGTTCAAAAAACATCATCTCTATGGTTTGGGGTAACTTACATATTTTGTCCCTAACTTTTTTTTCTTAACTCGGACGGTCCCTTTAGTTTAAATTTGTTTCGACTTCGGACCCTGATCGAGTTAAAAGACTAATATACCCTTATTACTTTCATTTAACATTATTTTTATTATTTATTAATCATTTATACAATTTATGTTATTATTTATTTTAATTATATCAATTGTATTAGTAATTAACAAGTAATAAAAATAAATGTTAAATGAAACTAATAAGGGTATATTAGTCTTTTAACTTGATCATTGTCCGAACGCAAAAATAAATATAAACGCTAGGGACCGTACGATCGAATTAAAAGACTAATATACCCTTAGTACTTTCATTTAACATTATTTTTATTATTTATTAATCATTTATACAATTTATGTTATTATTTATTTTAAATATATCAATTGTATAAATAATTAACAAGTAATAAAAATAAATGTTAAATGAAACTAATAAGGGTATATTAGTCTTTTAACTGGATCATTGTCCGAACGCAAAATAAAATTTATGTTATTATTTTTTTTAAATCTATCAATTGTATAAATAATTAACAAGTAATAAAAATAAATGTTAAATGAAACTAATAAGGGTATATTAGTCTTTTAACTAGATCATTGTCCGAAGGCAAAATAAATATAAACGTTAGGGACCGTCCGAGTTAAGAAAAAAAAGTTAGGGGCTAAACATGTAAGTTACCCAAACCATAGAGATGGTGTTTTTTGAACAGAATATGTACTTCTTTGGTGTTTTATGAACATATGTTTTAGTTTGATGGTGTTTTTTGAATATATAATATTTGAATGGTGTTTTTTGAACAAATTTGAAACTTCGATGGTCTCCTAAGTCATTATCCCTAAAATGGGGGATGAAATTGAAATTTTAAAAAGCTTTAAGGCGAGGACTGAAATTGTCATAGTAACCCTTGGCAGTGATTGAAATTGCAAAGCAAGGATAAAAAATTAAAAATTTTACGGTGATTAAACTTGACAGGTATGGACTAAAAAAGAAAAAAAAAATTAAGAAGAATAAAAATGCCAAAAAAAACTACCACCGACCTTGGTTTCTAACGGGAAGTTAATAATATATGTTTATAAATATGAATTTTAAAAGTAACATATCAACTTAAGTAGATACAGTATGATATTTTCACAACATAAAGTAAAATACGTTCATTCAATAAATTTATAGAGATTGAAAACTATCTTCGATATTAAATGCCTTTTCCTCTGTTTTCTATACTCTCTTCCACTATAAATGCGTTCCCTTCTCCTCCTTTTCAATGCCAATCCACTCCCATTCCTCTACATTATTCCCACCTCCATCGATCCCCTCCGTTCCTCCCGCATCTTACTCCAGCCGGCGAACACCATGCCTGATTTCCAAATCGAGACTCTTCTAAATCTCATCAACAGAATCTTCTCAGCGTTTCTCACTTGCGCCTTCGCATTAGGTTCGTTTCTTCATTCTTCATTCTTCCCCTAAATCCAATTTCACAATCCGATTCAGAAATTTCATTAACGAAATTGAGTATACGATGCAGGAGGAGCACTTATCGGAATAATCACCGGCGCAATCAAAGGGCAAACGACGGAAACGGGGCTACTTCGTGGAGCCGGTGTGGGTGCAGTCACTGGTGCGATCACAGCGTTACAGATCATGGATATGATGGCTAATGGCGAACCATTTTCGAAGGTTTTTGACTTTCGTTTGTACTTTGTGCAGTTTAAGTTGTATTGTCAATTGTGCTTAAGCAGCAATTAACGAACTTGTGGTTGTTGTACAGGTAGCACTGCTGTGTAGTCTTCTAAATGGGAAAGTGTTCGTTGAGTGGGTTAGTCCAGCTATGCTTAAAGCTTATCAATGGCAGACGAATGCAATCGAAATGAGTTTGGTTGACATGTTCGACATTGAAAACAGTGGGACAAGAGGATTATCGGAAGATGCTTTTAGCAGATTACCGAAATGCCGATTTGCAAATCGAGTTAAGATTAATCAGAGGGAAGATGAATGCAATGATATAAACTGTGCGATTTGTTTGCAGGATTTTGAAAACGAAGAAGAAGGAAGAGAGCTACCAAGTTGCAGACATGTATTTCACTTGGAATGCATAGACGAATGGCTTGTTAGACAGGGTTCTTGCCCCATCTGTAGAAGGGACGTTTAACGTTTAATGTTCATTTGTCTAATACAATTATAACAGAATTAAAATAAGGGCATAAATATGTTGCATGATTTGAGACAATTTCTTGTTTATAATTAATTTATATAAGAATTTACAGTATATTATATACACTGTCACTGTACAGTCTATTTTTAAAGGATGCATCTAAATTTAAATGTATATTAAATGCTGACGTAATGCTAACAAAGAGTGAGTAATAAATGAAATATGCCACTTAAAATGACGCAACATGAAAACGTGAACCGTGGGATTTTGTTTTTTCAAGTATGGATCATAAAATCGAGAATATGCGATTTTTTTTTGCATTTTATTAATTAAAGAAAAATGGATTTAAAAATGACAAAATACACACGCCTAAATTAGTTTAATAGTTCTATTATTATGTTAATAATTGAGAAATACAAAAAAATTCGGCCATTGAAGGTCAAGTAAATATTCAGATACGTGCATGAGAAGAAAACGATGGCATGACATCGTTTTTCGGCCGTTGAATTTTGATGATGTTAGATATAAATCATTTTCAATATTACGTTGAACTGTACATGATTTTTATGCATTAAAACAAAGGCTGTAAATAATTTGAGGTGTGGCTTAATTGCAAAATCATGTCTTAAGTTTTAGGAACTAAAGCCACTAAGTTTTTTAAGATTAAACTTCAATGACT